TTTATCAATTCCAGAATATTCACAAAGACGTATATTTATCTAATACAAGTTGTTTTTGCAAAATATCAAATTTAATATCTTCAAAAATATAGTTTTTGCGCCTCATTTGATTTACTTGTTTATATTTTCAAATAGCAGCCACATCATTCTCCTTGAAAACTCTGTAAAGCTCTTGTCGATTCATAAAGCGGGGTGTCCATAATATTTGTATGTACTTATATATTGTATAAACGATATATACATCTGGACGCAGAAATATAGTTTAATGACTTTAAAGCTTACCATATATTAATGACACCATTGAGGTATACAAGATTTAAACGTTTCTAACACAGATGTATTTTTTCTTTTTTTTTTCAAAAATTCTATTGTTCATAATTCTTCAAAATAATGATTAAAACATTATTTTTGTTTCGTCTACAAGTTAAAACTAATCAAATATTATCATACAAATTCATCCAGCATTTATTCATATATAAAACAAATATAAGCATTAAATATTTATTTTTAATTTTGTAAGAAAACAAAGTCCAAAGCGGTACACAAATAGTATTTTCATATTTGTGGAGCATGATATTCATAAATATATGTATTTTTCTTCAAGTTTGTGAAAATCAAAATCAATTGCAAGGCAATATTTTCAATCTTATAACTGACAGACAGACACACAAAAGCATTTATTACAGTAATCAAGAATACATTTTGCATTGCTATTTTTAGTACATATTTTTCTACCCTTGGGTACTTTATACATCATATCTGATCTTAATATATACGGTAAATGTTGATATAACTTAATTGTCTAATATAAATAACCGTCTTAACGATAACAGTTTTCATTATTTTTCTCAGTATATTAATTAAAAATTAATTATGATTAGATTTACATATGAATATAAATAATCAATAAATTGCACGTGAAACTTTCCTAGAAAAGAGTAGGGGAGACCGGGTATGGTTGTGCCACTTCTTTTTTGATCAGCCATAATTTACAATTTAATTTACAAGTTAGCGGGAAGAAAAATATACTAAATAGTAATATGAACATTACTATACTGTCCTACGATCGATTAATGATAAAATCAAATCATACAAAAAAGAGCCAGTGACACAACCGTCGACAAATTAGACAACTAATTGAATTGCTTTCGGAACCTTTAAGTTCGGAATTTGAAGGTCTCTTTTATTTGTTGTCAAACTATTAAAAATCTTTATCGTTTTTGTATACTTATTTTCAAAAATTTTAAATAAAATATAAATAGCTTTATATAGCTCTATAAAGTAGCAATTAAATCTTGTGGAAATGTGTGAAAAATAGTGTACAAACATTCTTCGGTTACCGGAAATCATAAAAAATATAATATTTCTGCCTAAACATTTTTCGTCGTCACATATACGTACGCATACATGATTAAAGACGTATAGAGAAAACTAATCCCCCCGTTTCCCGATGCGTTGCACGAAATCCAGAAAAACGAATTTAAAAATAGACGGTCATATATAAAAGAAGAAGACCGAGCGCGTATCATCCCAGTCGCATCAGAACAGTTGGATAAAATAAAAAATTGTGAACTAAAATTTATTTTCAAATTTCATTAATTTTGTTTTTAACGATTTTTAACAAGCCCTTTGCCGTAATATTGACGGAACCTGCCTCAGTGAAGCAAAGGACGATATTGGTTGTCGTTGGTAGTGTAGTGAAAGTAAACTATAAAATTGTGAATAAAACTCAGAACATCACCAAAAATAATCCACACACTTACAGTAAACAAATTATTATTTGTCTCTACAGAAGAAAAACTCAGCTGCCAAATCAAGATTGACATAACTGTCAATTATTTTTATGTTGATCATTTATTAATATATCAATTTTGACTTTCATCGATTCTATCTCGGCCCCCCTTCCCACCATGACGCTTTCGGCCAACAGCAATGCTACCAATCGCCTCGGGTCGCAGCAGGGACGTAGCCTCCAATTAGCCGCCGTGCGAATACAGGCCGGCTACAGAGGATATCGCGTGCGCAAGCAGCTCAAACGCTTGTCAAAATCGAAAGTGAACGGTTGCAAAGAGAACAGCATGGCAGAATCATCATTGAACAGAGATAACGTCGACATTGTCGAAAAATCAGCAACTAAAATTCAAGCAGGAGTCAGGGGATTCCTAGTCCGACGCAAGCATAATAAGGAAAAGGAAGCTGCCACCAAAATCCAAGCAGGATTCAGAGGATTCAAAGTCCGGAAAGAGTTCAAAAAAGCAAACGAAGTGTGAAGATTTTTTGAATACAGTGCACTGTTAATGCATAGTTCCAAAACAAAACGTGATATTTGTGAATGAAGTGATATTTTTTTACTGGCCGACAAACAAAATTTGTATTACATATTATGAATAAAATATTTATAGAAAAAAAGTAAAAATAATGATCTTATCAAATGATGCAAGCCAGTTTGAATATGAAAACATCGAATAAAGTTTCCAATAATTCACATTTTACATAAGTATTATAATCTTATTAATATAACATAAAATAAATTTAAGAACATAATGTTCCATTTATTTAATATATCTCGTTTCTAAATGCGATTGTGTTGAGGGCATAAAATTAATTTTATCAAAATTTTGATCCTATGCAAGAACCTACATTAATATAATGATCTACGTCATAAAAATATGTGTTACATCAAGTATAGCAATGTTGATCTTGGTTTGATTTATGACACTAGTCAGACAAGATGAATGTATAACCAAAGTTGCAGTAATATTCAGCCTTGACCCAAATTTAGTGAAATCTTGCACTCGAACACTAATGAGTTTCGCACGACCAAAAAATAAACAAAGAACCATATTGTAACAGGTTTAACAATAAGCCTTGTATTAAGAAATGGAATCACGTATCATATTGAAGTAGTTGTAATATAGCCAAAACGAGATTTAGATATTTCTATAATGTAAAATATACAGAATTTACGAATAAATATTTTTAATTATGAACATTGTGTGTGATTTTTTTTTACTTTTCAGGGTAAAAATTATTGCAATTATTGATTTATTAACTTCCCGTAGGACAAGTTATAGTAATCGCAAAAGAATCGAAAATAATTTTTTTTATATATCTTTACGTTTCAGAGGTTTCTGAATATTTTAGCATACCTTAGAAAAAATGGATGTATGTGTGTGTGTATCACGTGCGGATACAAATTTTCGTCGACGATTTCGGGAACACCGATTAATCAATTTGAATAATTCAAAAAACATTCGATTCTTATTGATAAGGAGACGTGCTGATTAGTTTTTGGCGAAGGCAGGTCTATTTTTATTCTTTAATTGCTTATTTCAGTACTCAAAAATAATAAGTGACTCACAAGTTGGTAAATCGACTATTATAAATCATTAGTGCAAATACATTTGCAAGATGAGCAGTAAAAGTAGTTGCATTATAGTAACTTAATCAGGTTTGGAACAATCTATAGGACAACGTCTATTTATAGTCGATTTATTTCAATTATTTCTATATTCTATACGTCGTTATTTCTGTTTATTAATTATCTAGTTTGAATTATCGTAATAAACATTCATACATAAAAATTATTTAATTTAATTAAAATCTTATAATCCCTATGTCTTGAGTCACTCGATTTTTACTCTAAAATTGCTACCAAAATTTTGAACTTATTCATAATAATATAGAGAAATTGGCAAACATTTAATGTAAATATATATATATATACTACAAAATATTTAAATAATAAAATTTAAGATCATATGCTACCATGCTAATATTCCTAATTGCTCACCCTCATGGCTACACTCATTATTATATATGGCTAATATTCCTAATTGCTCACCCTCATGGCTACACCCATTATTATAAATATATATATATATATATATATATATATATGTATATATATAATAATAATAATAATAATAAATAATAATGGGTAGTATTGTCCTAGGGCAGATCTTTGTGCTGAGATCGAAACTAAAGTAAACTCGAACTCGATTCAGAGAAGAAGGAGTGTGAGAGTTTTTCCCATTTTCATTTCACACCATATATATATATATATATATATATATATATATATATATATATATATATATATATGATTTAGTAGTTAATTTTGATGTTGAAATATATGAGTGAGTTCTTGAGGGCGATACATCAAACAAAGAAAAGCCAAAGGTTTATAAAATAATCTTTATTTCCAAACGTTTCGACATTCAATTTAATGTCATCATCAGTGGATCTAAAAACAGTATGAAAATTAGCATATCTAGGTAATTATAATATATGTGGATTGGTAAAGTAACTATACAATAAGAGAAAAATTAACAAACAGCAACACTTAACAACAAACCAAATATAAAAGATAGGAAAGGTAGTAGAGACTAGAATTAAATAAATAATTAAAAAGTATAGGCAAAAATATTTAAGTACACTCATATAAACCTACGCATATATACAATATATATATACACATATATACAATATATACAATATATACATACACATATACACCCTAAATATTTTTGCCTATACTTTTTAATTATTTATTTAATTCTAGTCTCTACTACCTTTCCTATCTTTTATATTTGGTTTTTTGTCAAGTGTTGCTGTTTGTTAATTTTTCTCTTATTGTATAGTTACTTTACCAATCCACATATATTATAATTACCTAGATATGCTAATTTTCATACTGTTTTTAGATCCACTGATGATGACATTAAATTGAATGTCGAAACGTTTGGAAATAAAGATTATTTTATAAATCTTTGGCTTTTCTTTGTTTGATGTATCGCCCTCAAGAACTCACTCATATATATATATATATATATATATATATATATATATATATATATATATATATATATATATATATATATGTATGTATGTATAAAGTATGTAAAGTTTATTTATAGATAGAAAAACATAATTTTTCATGATTTATTTGAAAACGATCAATTACAAGACTAGATAACTTAAATAAACATTTATAATGACTAAGCAACACAATTTCTACTTTTTCTCGTCTTTTTCTTCTGAAGAGGGTGAAATATTATTTTCAATTTTTGCTACTAATCTTTTAGCTCCCTAAAAAAAAATATTTCAATGTAAACATTCAAAAATATTTTTGAATAAATCTAGAAGTATTTATATATGTTAGTGCGTATAGGTCCAGTTATAAGAATTCTTGCATTTTGTTCACATAAATGATATACTTTTGTTAATCGAGAGTATAAATAACTATAAACCAAATTAAACAATGTCAAAAACCTGTTCGTTGTATTCATATTTGAATATTAGGATCCAAATATTTAATATTTAAAAGTATACATGATACTTAAAGTTGTTGCGTTCAAGTACTTTCAATTTCTTACATACCACAAAAATGCAACCGAACAGCATATATGATATTTATTCTTCGAAATATAAAGCATGTCACTGCATGTACAAATTTTTTTATGTTAATTTAACAAAGCACATAACTGTCTCTTTGAGTGCACAAAATAAGAGCAACTACAAAGGAAAATTCAAAACTATCTAGTTAATTTTTATGCAGCTGGTAAGTATTTGCACTTTCAGATAACGTTGACTTAAAAATTTATTTACTGTCAGTTGGCTTATAACTATAAAAGAATGAAAATGAATTAAAACTTACTACTACTATCGGCAACTCTTTTCTATCCTTCTCATCAACAAATATTTCATTATTTTGTACCATGTTCCATCCTACATGTATACCAATAATTGCAGGTATCATAACGATTAGCACTCTATTATTCTTAATAAAATCACGGAGAGATGACATTTTTTATTTAATCATGTATAGATTATTGTTTTTATATATTTTGATTCTAACCACTTTTCTTTTATCTATGATTCTAACCTATAAAACCGTGCTGTCAAAATCTAATAAAGACACTGTCACACACGCACTTTATATTTTTTAAGTTATTTGGAGCCATTATTTGAAGTATATTTTAATATTAAATTTATTATTTTAAATTTAAATTGTTTTTGTAAAACCGCCTGAATAACAAAATACCAAATTTAACTCATCAAAAATGTTCGTACACACAAGAAATAATACTTTATGAAATAAATACAGGTGTTTACAAAAATCGATATCGATCATTGTGTGCAAATAACCTCTGTGTGTCATGACACTAACACCAATTTTTAATGATTAAAATATTTTTAAATATGGTAACACTCGAAATGAGAATGATAATGGTAATTCGTTATCAAAAAATAAATAAATTAATTAATCTGGTCAATAAAAAAAATTATATAAGATAACTTGCCACAAAGGCAAAAGTTTGTACATTTCCAAAGGTAAGATTGATCAATTTGTTAGTTGTTTCTATCATAATTTTGAAAATCTAAATTTATTACTCCACAACATACCAATCAGTAAGTTTCTTTTTTAGTGAAAATAAGGAATTAATTTTTCTAACCTATTACTTATTAATATTTTACTATTTACATGTATTTATATTATACACCTTGTTTTAAACCTAGTGATGGATTCCAAACCCTTTGATCCCGTGGAAAATGGGCTCGATAAAGACTTCAGGCTTACTAAATTTACTGAATTAGGAGGGTGAGGTTGTAAGGTCCCTCAAGATGTTTTAAACAACTTACTTGAGGGACTCTGCGATATGGAGAAGGCCAAGTCCAGTGATAGTAAGGAAGTTGGTATGTTTCAATTTATAATATAATATATATAATTGTTGTTATATGATTATCTCAGCATATAATTCATTATAACCATATCCATTGCTTCTTTAGTTATATATGACGAAATATTATTAGTAAAAAAATAAATTACTATTTATTTCATAGGAATTGGATTGGACTGCTCCGTTACTCCTCTCGAAGAAAACTGGTACCTTTTACAAACAACAGATTTTTTCTATCCTTTAATTGAAGATCCATATTTAATGGGTAATTTTTAAAAATTAATATTCAAATTGTTTTATTACTAAAAAATTGTTTATTAATAGGTCGAATTGCTTGTGCAAATGTGGTCAGCGATTTGTATGCAATGGGTGTTACCAAAATTACAAACATGATGATGTTATTAGGCATTAGTAATAAAATGACTCCGAAGGAACGAGATTGTGTTATTCCTTTAATGATGAAAGGATTTAAAGTAAGTTTCAATAAATTATCTTATAGGCTTGATATGTATTTAACTATTTATTCATATTTATCTTCTAGGATGGTGCTAAAGAATCAGATACAACTATCACAGGTGGACAAACAGTCTTGAACCCTTGGTGTATTATTGGTGGTGTCGCCACATCAATATGTCGTGAAAATCAGTTTATACTGTTAGTATAAATTTAATTGCAAAGTTAACATTTATAAATTCATATATATTGAATTTTCTATAAATTTTAGTCCACACAACTCAGTGCCTGGAGATGTTTTGGTTTTAACTAAACCTTTGGGAACCCAAATTGCTTGTAAAATACATCAATGGCTAGATGTTCCAGAGAAATTAGAAAAAATATCTTCTGTTATATCAGTGGAAGAAATCAAATTTGTTTACAAACAAGCTGTGCTATCAATGGCTCGTCAGAATAGAATTGGTGAGGAATTCATAATACGGATTGATACAATTAAAGTTTAAAAAAAATATATGATCTTCACTTCTTCTTTAATTAATTTAAACTAAATGGGGTGTGCAATTTTTTTACATTAATTATAAGCACAGGAAACAATGTAAGTTTCTTAAAATTGTAATGTATTTATATCAATTATTTTCTTCAATATTATATTTTTTTTTTCAGATGCTATGCTTATGCATAAATATAATGCTCATGGTGCTACTGATGTCACAGGCTTTGGAATTCTCGGTCATGCTGATAATTTGGCCCAGAATCAGAAAAATAATGTTTCATTTGTATTGAATAAACTACCAGTTTTTTACAAATGTTCCGAAGTTGCCAAAATCTTCAGCAAATGTTTAAGCTAGCAGAAGGATATTGCCAGAAACTTCAGGTATACAACATGTATATATATAATAGGAATAAAAGGTATTATAATATCTTTAATAAACCCAGTTTAATTTCCTTGGGTGTTTATTTTACAGGAGGCCTATTAATAGCTTTACCAAAAGCAGATGCAGAAGGATATATTAAAGAGATTTATGAGCTTGAAAAGCAAAAAGCTTTTATTGTTGGTCATGTAATAACTGGTGACAAAAAAGGCATGTTAGCAGATGCTACAATTACTGAAGTCTCTGAACTTGTGGATTAATTAAGAAATAATAGTATAACTAATATGAATAGTTTAATATATTGTTATTGTATTTGTTAATTTTCCTATATCAAACTACCGTATGATGAGAATGTTTGAAAATCCATTGGATGGAATGTTCTTTGAAGTTTTGTACTTTGTTAGAAGAAAGCAATCAAATAGATTAACAATGTATTAATTGTTGTTGAATAAATATATTTTTATCATGGATGTTAAAAAAGGACTATTTTTTATTAATATTAAAATTAACTTTTTATTAGCATTTACAAATCACACACAATTTTCTGATTCCTTACTGTTTAAAATATTTAAAATAATATTCATAAAAAATTGGTATTGTATTTCAAATAAACCGCCAACTGATCATATTGAAATATGCTCCTGACGTCACACATTTGTTAAAATTTGAATTAAGTTTGTTGTTTTATTTATTGCATAGTTAATTTAAAATTAGAGTTCACTATTTTTAATAATTTATTAATAATGTGGCAAAAGTTAAACTGTTAATTCCAAAGATTTACAAACTCTTGGGCACATTGAACGGCGGCCAAAGTTTTAGGTTACGTTTCTCAAAATTTTTAATCAAGCAAAACTATGAGTATTCTTTTTCTATTTATTTTAGGTGGACATTGAAAAATGAGGAATGGACTGGAGTATTTAAAAATACCGTGTGGAAAAAAAAACAAGATCATACAAGCACATACTATCGCGTTGTAATTCGTTATTGATCAACTCTCAAGATCAAAATAATATTAAAAAGAAAATTAAACTTGATAACGATGATATATATCCAACTCTTTTAAGAGAATATTTTCAGCTGAATGTTGATTTGCAAAAAAACAATATTTGATGTGGAACGAAAAAAGATTCCAATTTTTCGAAAATATCTGAAAAATTTTACGGTATTAGAGTTCTGAAACAAGAACCTATTGAAAAATATTTTTCTTTATATGCAGCTCTAATAATAATAATATACAACGGTAATTATTGAACTATTATGGAACAATATGATAGAAATATAAAATTTTTACTTTCTGTAGGATAACTGGTTTAGTAGAGAGAAATTATGCACAAATTATGGTGTGAAAATTTGCGATGAAGACGGAGTAGTATCATATTATAGTTCCCAGAAGTAGAAGCTTTAGCACCAGATGGGGTTATTATTTTTAAACTAAAATTAAATTGAATTGCTATATATCAATTTGATATAATATCGATAGCAAACGAAAATGATATAAGTTTACTATAACATTCAAAAAATAATTGAATTACAGGTAGAAGATAGATTGCGTAAATTAGGTTTTGGTTATCGTGGCAAAATACATTAATCAAACAGCAAAAATGATTACTAAACTAGGAGGAATTCAATGGATAAATGAATGATTAAAAGAAACAGATTATTACTGTAGCTAAAGAAAAGCTTTTGCAATTGCCTGGCATTGGCCCAAAGGTATATTATTTAATTCTATTTTTTTATGCAATTAATTCAAATTA